CCAGTTATCCTTTCAGAGCCTAAACCTTTTACTTGCTAGGGAAACAACTGTAAATATACACTAGCAATTTGTTACAGGAAACCTGCGTGCCAGTGGTGGCTCCAATATATATGACCTCTACATATACCTGCACACACACTCTCTCTGTATATAGATATATATGTCTGTGTATACACACAAACACACACCCACAAAGGAAGTTACAATTACATACTAGCAATTCTGCCTGTCCTAATTGCTTCTTATTCTCCATCTAACTGTTAGCTCCGATTTTGCCTGCAAGGAAGGAAAGCATTAAATGACAACCTGTCAGTGGTACTGAGCCCCCAGAAAGGAAGGCAAGAAAGTGGCACTTAATGCAGGTGGCAGGACAAGGATAGCAAAGGAATTTGAAAAAGGCAGTGTTGTGGTCTGAGCAACAGCGAAAAAATTTAAGAACACAAATTGTTTTAAACTTCAGTAAAGCCCTAAAACCAGACCAAGGCCAGTAGGGAAAAAAAACAAACCAATAAAACACAAACAAACAAAAATAATACACTTCACAGGGTGTTAATAATGTTTTGCATGCTGAAAAGTGGCCACCACCTTATAAACTTGCTTGCAAAAGAAAGCCCCAGAAAAGCCTGTGAAGGCACACGCATTCCCACAAAAAATAACAGACCGCTCCATCTGAGAAAGCTGCATTACTCCATTTAAGAGCCACAGCAGCCTGAAAACCCCTTCTTTACTCTGCAATACTTATGTGTGCAGAAAATACCTGAAAAAAAATCTAACTGCATTAACTCTTCCCTAGTGAAAATAATGCTCAGGATTTGAATAAACCTGGAGAGCATCCACTGTGAAAGGCTGAAGACGCAATGGTTTGTGAATGATTTGCTAATGATACTGAGATTAGTGCAAGTCTCTCTCACTGCTTTACAACCATCATGTTTTATTAATCAGACCAACAGCACCCCGTAAAAATTGAAATCTGTTTACAAAGCCAGCACACATGGGAAAAGCTCACCCGTATTTATTTTACTTTAAACAAAACCTACAGTAGCTCCCATTGTTTGTTTGTTTTTCCCCCAGACTAGACAGCATGTGGCTTATGAGCCCCATTGATAGACGTGATAAAGCTTATGCCAGATCTGATTGATGACTGCACTAAGAAATGCTACAAAGGTCACTCCTTAATTCTCTGCTTGCAGCTGGTCCTGGTAAGCAACGCTAGAGCAAAATAAAATCTGGATCTGCTAATTGCTAATAACAATGGAAATCACATCCACACCTTTCATTACCTTCCGTTCCATTCTTGCTAAAACAGTAACGCCGTAAGAGCATGCAACTGATGAGAAACCAGGTAAGTTTGGAAGCAATCCTTACAAATTAAATACACTTTAACAGACAGAAAAAAAAACTGACTCAGAATAACTGGCCAAATAATGAGCTGAGTACAGACAGGCCAGAGTAGTTTAGCAAGGAAGCAGCATAATTTTGCCATCCACCTCTGCAAAACTGAGATAACATATACTCTGTGAAAGACTAGTGCTGTCCCTGAGAAAGTGAATACACAAATTCAGCTACTTCCCCAAAGGCAGTTTAATTTAGGTGAACCAAGGAAGCATGTTTATTAACAGCGGCTAGCAGCACAGGACGAACTCAGTGAGCCAGAACATCAGTCAGTCTTGTAGAAGGACACTAAAATCTTGTTTTCCATAAATGTTTAGATACAACTGGGAAACTGATAGAGACATTGGGGAATTCACAAACATGATATAATGACAGTCCCCTAATGAATAATATATAATTAGTGCAACTCGGAGCAATTATTTCACATGCACAAAGGGCTGTATTTGTTGGGGGCTTGTAAAATACTGTTATCTTTGAGACATTAGCTAAATTACTGATTAAGATTGAAATCACTTGTGCATTATTTTCTGGCACTTATTATTAATGGATGAAAATATTTTTATTCAGTATTTTGTACTCCATGTTTTTGGCACAATAGGGACATCACTGACATCTGTCCTAGAGAAAGACAGCCATTATCACTCAGCTCAAAAATACACGATGGCAGAGAGATGTTGGCCGCAGAAATCCCCAGATATGAAAACATCCCACCGCTATTTCAGCTGTCATCATGAAAGGAATAACGCACTCATTTTTTTAATGTTTATTTCTTTTTTTAGTTTAGAAAAGGGAGTCCTACACAGTTTTACCTACAAACATGCACTATTAACTCCGAAGATACCGCTGCATCTAAGAGCAGTATCTTTACAAAAACAAGCCTGTAAGAAAATCCTCTTAGGAATTTCTTTTTTAGATTTCTTGATGGACAGTGGTAAAACATACAAGAGATACCGATTTGTCCTCTTCACAGCCTAGGGTATTCTCCCCAGGGCTACTCTAAGAGAGATGGGTCGCCGTTGGCTCATTTTGGCAGTGTTGCGCGTTAAGGGCACTCAGCAGCTTGAACACTCGAACCTTACTGCGCGCTGCACCACCTGAGCAACTTTCTGTCGGGGTGGCACAGGAGCAACGGGAGGCAGACAAATTATTTTCTGCCATTTAGTGACTCAGTTTCTTAAAATCTCTCTGAAAAAGTGTTTGCGTCCGCCAAATTTCATTTGTTACCCAGGATGAGATATTCCCTCTTTCCGCAAATCCTGGTTATGTTCCTGCAATCCTAAGAATGAGCCTTACTAGCACCAGCACACCCGCAGAGAGTCAAGGATTAACTTAATAATCAGAGAATAAGAGTAATGAAAGCTTAAAAATCTACCTGTAGTGTTTTACAGTACCACGGCATATGCAGTGCAAATGCAAAAGCTTAATGTATACACACACACACGTATACATAGGTGCAGCATGACAGTCCTGCAGCTGTAACCCCCACACACCTAGCTCAGGGTCACTGCTGCGTGATTACAGCTACGCGTTTTCCTACCAGCTCATGGCATGGGCAGAGGTGACAGACAATTCCCTTTATTGCTCTATGCAGACACCCCCAAAAGACACCCGGTATGATATTACAGTTACACCTGCGCTGGGGCCAGCTTAGGACACTGCATAACAGAAAAATTAATTTCTCCTAAGTTTGAATGGATAACCTGAACAGACTTAGACCAGGAACACGTTCAAGATGTAGCTTTTTAAATCCTGATACAGTTCACGGTGACTCTGTAGTACTAGTCATGGTTGTCTTCCATTTTTCCATTATTTCTGTTGAGTCTGAATATCTGGGTTCAGCTGGAAACCTAAGAGCAGTAACCTGGAACATTATCTACTGGGTGCATAAAACGCTCATCTGCCCAGACCAAACAGACAGGTCCTTTGCCAGATGAAAAACTGTATTTGCAGATAAACTGATGAATCAGTGGAAAGTCAGGGCTACACCAACAGCGAGGTGTTACTCACAGGTAACGCAGGTTGAACTGTGTGACTGGAAGGGGGGCACGAATCTGTTGAGGAGCTGAACACAGTAGGCTTTAGTGCGACTAAAAGCACAATAATACAAAGTTAACTAAACCGTATGGTAGCTCGGAAGCAGAAATCCTTGCATCCCACCCTCCCACTCCTGCAAGGCAGAGAGTCTCTTCCAAAGCCACATAAAGGCAACCCGTTCTTCCTCCTCGCCCCCATCCACACAACACAAAGAGTGCAGCTCTGAACAATGCGGCTAGCCAAGCACACTCAGGTGAACAAGGCTCCCATTGACAGACATATCAGATATGAAACTTTTGAAAATGCCCAGAAATTAAATCAGTAGAATCCAGATTGCATGAACCCGCACTGAGCCGCCGGCTCTTTGTCCTGGGGCAACGTCTCGGGGACGTCTGCTGTGAGCAGCAGGGCAAGACAATTTCTGTCTGACCTTCCTGCAGGTTCTTTGTGCCACTGAAACGAGTAAAACAATTAGTCACATGTGTATCACACAGAGCCTGGCTCCATTGTGATTTCAGTGATATTCATATATTTTTCAACATCTCAGAGAACAACTCTTAAATCTGAGAGCTTGAGGAGATGCAAATGAAAAACCTCTTTGCTCACTTTACAAGATTTTAAAATAGTCTGAATGGCTGACCTATGGAAGTGTTTTTGCACTTTGCCTCTCCTTGCTGCTACCGCTTCCAGAAACACGACAATTTTGATGGCAGAGTTTCCAAATCCCTTTATCTACAGATCTACCCGAGGAGCAGTAACACTACATAACGCTTTTACGTTCGCTGCAATACTTCCTGACAAACATCAAACAGTGCTGCATGTAACCAAAGGCGACAAATACCTGCTCATTGTTCTAGGCACAGGAGCGCCACTGAGATCACTGAGCATTTAGACACACAAAGACAACTGTAGATGCTTTTTTTCCATAACTCATTTCAAATTCTTCTTAGACCATCTGGTAAGTATAGCCCTAGAAAGCCCAGGCTGCTCCCACTCAGTCTGTAATGCAACATTAGCTCCTTTTCCACCTCAGTTCCGAAGGGAAAAGGGAATTGTCCAAAAGGAGAAGGGAACTGAGCGGCTAGCTCTTCCTACAGAAACCACCAGGAGGCACAAGGGATGGATGGCTAAAGGGCACCAAGTGCCAATATAGGACAGCGCTGATGGATTGATCCATCTGGCCGCCAAGCCGTCCCCTTGCCCCCCTACACCACCCCTTCCCAGACAAACAGAGAAAAAGAATTTAATCACGCTGCCGTCTTCTTAGAAGAAAAACGTGGCTCCCTAACGCGTCGCACAAACAGCGACAGAGCACCTGTGAGGGCAGGAAACTACATTTATGGAAAATATCTCTGAGAACAGAACCGATTCCCGTTGTGACATTTTTTCCTATGGAACGAAACAAAGAACTGCACAAAGAACAATAAAATCCGTAGGCTCGGGAAGCCCTGGACTGCAGTACAAGGTTTAATTAGCCCTTTCTCGTTTTGAGGTTTATTTCATTATTGTATAGTCTGACCTCAGCTGAAAAGATCAATCACCGTGAAGGTATGGCAAATAAAACAGACACAAACCTATCAAGTGTTTGCTGCATCCAACCGATTACACAGGAACCAGAGGGGAGATTAGCTAACTACTTCTGCGTTCCTGACACCTGCCTCGTCTTGCCTTTCAGACGTGTATGTTCCTCTACGTTGTCTTCCTCGGCAGGTGAACCCCTTGGTTTCCTGAGGAGCAGGGACATCTTTCGACTCTGCAATTGGAGAATCTATTCAGTTTCTCCGGCTCGAGGACTCATAATTTATAAAGCAAAGTCTGCTTTGGGCTGCTTTTCTAGCTCTCTCTTTTGCCTGCCTATTATCTTCCTACTGGCTAAATCTTGGGCAAGTTTCCCACCGTCACCCTCCACCCCAAACACAGAACAGAAAAAGTTACAAAAAAAAAAAAAATCTCAGTGGAAGAAATCAAAATACGTCGCTGCGAACTGAACAGCCTTCTACCAATCACACGCTGCTTTTCAGTTTTAACCTTTCTGTTCAACAGGAAATAAAAGGAGGGGGTCATCTGGTGAAGCCAACGGGACAGACCGGGAAGGATGGCTCTTCTCGCCTTTGCCCTTACTGAATCCCGGACCGTAACATGATGCAATCTCCGCGCTATGATGAAACGGGTTCAAACGGCAACGGCGGGGGACACACCACCTCCTCCCACCCTAAAAAACCAGGAAAACCACGCAACGCTCCGCTGTCCAAAGCGGCA